GTTTCCCACCATCGTTTCTGGCCTTTTTCACAATGGAGAGTTCAATAGGGTTATAAAAACCTCGGAGAATTCCAGTACGATATGTTGACCATGTTTGCCGTAGTCTCTGAATATGGAATACAGTGAAGTCCGTAATGTCATCAATATCAGAGGTTGGCAGTGAAGATTCGGAGAAAGTTAATTCTTTAAGTCTTCAATATCAGGTTGGCAGTGAAGATATTTTGGGAGAAAAAACAAAATGGCTGCCTTTATACACATCGGATTGAATATTTTGAGCTTTCTGATTGGTTAACTCTTCTATTGGTGAACTATAAAATGAGTCAGCTCTTTTTGACTGGCTCACTAGTACATCAGTCTACCCAAACATTCTAACACGATATCTTTAATCATTTCTAGGATACAACGGTTCAAAGCTTAATCTAATAAATGGACAATTTTGCTGTTACACCCGGTATAATGAGTTGAATAGCAATGTAGTGAAAGTGGGAACTAATCGAGAACAAAAACTCGGAATTCGAAACTACAGTAAAAAAAGCGATAAATTCAGAAAGGCGTGAGACAACTGTTGAAAACTGGTGACGACTGATGTGAGTGAAAAATTCAGGAAGAATTTCTGCACATTTCGCCAGTCTCCACGTCAGATGTTCTTCTTTGAAAAATATGATAACTTGACACTCAAAATCAGTGAGTTGTTTGGCCATATGAGAAAGGCCAGAACGAGAGACGAAAGTTGTCAGCAAATAACCTTTAAATTTACTTGCATCGAATATTGCCTTCATATCTGTTTTGGTATTTCTTCAACAGATTCTTCACAATCCAAAGACGAATCTGCTACATAATCGGTCCTGACCTGACATCTCGGCTTCAATCTCTTTCCCACCATCGTTTCTGGCCTTTTCGATAAATGCTATTATGGCAACTGTTCTGATGAACTTTCCTCGAGTTAGGACTTCATAGAGTCTTTGTGGTATTATGGCGGCTATAGTAAGAATGCTAAGTAAGAATGTATTGTTGGATGTAAGGAATGCTGTGGTATATTTGGGTCAGTAATTGTGGGTCGCTAGGTTTAAGATAAGATAGATTGAAGACCAGCCTTTCCCTTTGGCATTTGTATTTTTCAAAGTAAATATTACTTTTCTCTTTGGTACTGAAATTTTATTCAGTAATTAAATCTTGACCTCTTCAAATCTAGAACTCGATGTTATCTTTCTTGCATAACACCATACGAAAAGGGCTGAACGAAAGAGGAAAGTTGTTTGCAAGTAACTTTTAAATGACGAGTCACAAGATCGAGCAGCAATTAATTAATCATAAAAGAACGAATCAGATTTAAGTAATTACGCGAGTGTCGACTGATTATTCAAGGTCATGAATATTCAAGAAATTTATTCAAGGTCATTCAACATCAATTATTCCTGAAAGATAAAACAGTGTAATAAATTTATTGCTTTTTATTGGGCACTCTGTAGTAATAGTTTTCAAGATTAGCTTCCTTACTAATTTAGGGCGAGATATTCTGCGTGATTCTCGTCAGGACATAAGAAACCTTTGTTCTAAGGGAAGTTAATTTGCGATGAACCCCAATATGTCCGACTCTCACCACAGATGATACCAAAAAAGACTCTGCACTCAATGTCACATCAGAGCGTCAGAAAAACCAGATGCATCAACGGTTGATTTGGAAGGTGCACACCCGC